ATTGTGTCCCTATATTAACCATTATTTTAGTTGGACCGATCAATTTTGTATTTTTTCCGTGTAATGTTGATGTGAACTATGTAATATTTGCTGCGATTAACAAAATAATTTCCATTGATCATCGGTCTGTTTGATTGCGTTCACAATTCATTTAAACATTTCTACCTAAACAACGCCATGAACATCTTAAAACAAATGTCGCGTCGTTTTGAAAACATGACATACAACATTCGAAAAATACGAGACTATAATGTCGTACAGTGAAATAAAATACTTATAAATATTCTGTTAATTTAATAGTAAGTATAGAACCATTAAAATCTCCAAATTCTGGGTAGTTGCCAACTTTAAGTCGAACATACAAATACATGTTAATGATTATATGATTTCTGTTTAATAGGTTATTTTCATTTTTGTCGAGAGTGAATCTAATAGTTATTACGGGTGTATGACATATTACATAATACGTTAATATTGTGGCAAATAACAGGTTATTAGTTTTGCAATTTTACTAAAGTATTTAATTGCTAATTGTTAAGTAGTATAACATAAAATTACCCGACTATATAATGTCTATATGTGACCTAGATTTTTGTCAAACGGAAATCGGAATAGAGGAAAACTTCCAACGGTTCATTTATTCTATTCAGAAAATTATCCGAGAAGAGCGAAATTGATGATTTCGGTTCTATCGAGTTATTTATCACCGTATATTAAAAGTGTCGTTTTGGGGGTAGTCCAGGTTTTTTGGGGATAAGTGAACTATTTACGCTTTCGGCATCCTACAAAGATGCCCGTATACAAGTACAAATTTCGAGCTATGACCACATCGCTATTGAATACAACAGCAAACTTAGTAACTATAACCACCTACTAATCATCCGTATCCAAACTACACAGACGCTCTCATACTTCAATCAGTGTCAACTGTTAATACAGTCTTTGGAAGATTTATTGTATAGGTACAACAAACAGTACAAGTATTTCAAACATATTTGCGTCCCTTTAAGATAGTGTTATGCGTGGATGCCAACATCATCAAGGCCCGCTCATGCTGATCAAAATTAACACGGAAAACATACTACACATCACAGAAAAACGTAGCGCGCAGCTATTAATTTATATCACTCGTCATCAAGGGTCTGTTGTCAACATCAAACCTTTGGTTGTTTGTCTGCATTGCGCACACATGTATAAATACAATTCTGTAGTAAAACGACAAAGTTGGCAAGTGTGTAATATTTTTATCCGTTTTTAAATTATTTTGTGGATTTGTTTTATAATACAATTTAAAATACGTTTACACAACAAACCGAAAATTGGATAAATAGTGGATACATAGGTAACAACTTTTGTCATTCTACCGCAGAAATAATAATACTAAAAAAAAAATAAGAATATGGTGCTACATTTTTTTTTTATTGCTACATTGTAAGTCCATTCTGATCACACTATTAATACTGTGATTATTTTATAATTTAATTATTAGTATTATTTATATTTATTTAAACTTAATCATTATTATTAACAATCAATAAGTATGCGTAAAACAAGTTATTGTATTATGCCATAATATGATAAATGTTTCTCTGAGAATGTTGTTCTCAAGTTGCACTTTGGCATACCAAAGTGTCTAGGTAGATCCTAGGTATAATAAGAGTTATGAATTTTGACAAACTGTCATTGCGAGACTTTCATGCTAAGTTATTAACAAAATAGAATAATCTAAAAATGGGAACTAATATAAGCGTACAGAATGTCTATCGTCGAGATATTTTTAAGTATATTAATTAATTCGAATACCTCTGTGTCGTGCATAACATGACAGTGTTATAACAGAGGGACGTTAAATATTAGATGATTACTCATTAGGAAGTACCTTGAAATATTTAGGCGGATGAAAATCACTTGGAATTTCACGGAAACACATTTAGTACAAGGATTTATTCAAAAAAGTAACTAGATACTTTAATCCCTCGTCTAGTGGGAGACGCTATTTTTGTTTAAGCTAATTATTATTTGAGTGCCAAAGTTTTTCGAATGTTTTTTATTTAACCAAAAAAATATACAAATACTGAAAGCTCCAGACAATTTAAAAACTGTAGAAACCTATCTGCTAAGTTATCTGAACAGAGCAAATATTATGACGGTGTCGTTTGGGCAATATATCCTGGTAAAAAGCGCAAACGTCTAATATTGTATTTTATATATTATGTTTTTAAAATGTTCTAATATAAAATCAAACAACGTTCTGGCCACTTTAGATATGCAATCAATTGTTGTTATGAATTATTAAAATCAAACCATTATATACGTACGAGGGCAGCGCTAGCGTTATTGGATTATGAAATACACACTATCAAAGTTTAAATAAAAAAATTCAGGACCACACACTTTGTTTGAATTCATTGAAGACGAGCAATAGTTACTAAATCATTTGTTATTTTTTTTATTAATTAAAAAACAACATAAAATTCATTACCACCAATAAAATAATATTGACAACGTTTAAAAATAAACTACCTCGAAAAGGATTTGTAATATATTATAATAATATTATTATTGAATTAATTAAAGAAATAAAAATATTAGTCTTAAGAAACGAAGATCAGTAGAACACGTTAATTGACCATTTAATTTGTAGTTGAACTTTTAATAATTTTGCTTTTCTTTTTCTCTTTTTTTCAATGAAAACGCCCAATTCAAGATGTAACGCCGGAAAAAACTGTTTGAAGGAACACCGTTTCTTTCAGCATATAATTGAATTTCCCAAATGGACGCGTCTGTTTGTAGTTTGTAATAAAATTGTCCTCGTCGTTTATATACGACAGAGTAACGCTTTTTTTTTTTGTACCCGCAAATGCCGTTAATTTTTAAAACTTACAAGATGAACTCAGAATGATATCAGTTTCTGTCAAGTCCTTGTGACTTACTCTTTCATATAATTAAAATCAGTCGCACTAGTTCACGCAGAAAGAGTGACACAAAACATAACGATTTGTATAATAACTAATAACGTAGAAATAATTAAAATTACAATAATCATTTGTCTATCTCGAAGAGACTCTAAGATAACGTTAGTGGAAATCATTAGGATAAGGAATATAAGGATTAAATCTTTGGTATCACTATATTTTTAAAAAAAATAATAATTATATAAGTATTTTTGTATTTATAACCACATAACGATAAAAACGAATTGAAATAAACCGCGGCGCGGGCGCGACTCATTTTAAAAAGTTATTATAGTATGCTTGTAAACGCCATCCAAGGACGAAGAACCAAACGGTTTTTATTGCATCTGTAGGTTATAAAAACTAACAGAAACACACACAAAGATAATACCATTTAGTACCAGAATAATCGGACAACGATAATATTGACTGATAATAATTAATTTGTGAGAGCTGATTGGTTGACAGTCCCAACAAATGTGTTTATTTGTCTATTCCATGTTGTTAAAAAAAAGTAATATCTTACAGCAAACCAATTGGAAAACAAACGACATACGTGTCTGTTCACTCCACTTTCGGAGAAAACAAAATGAATTTATAATTATCTTACACAAACACCAAACTTATATAATACTCTCTTCCGGAGCTTAAAGATGTTACGTTGCTTGACGAATACCAAATCCTGTATTTAACGCTAATACACCAGAGTATTTAACGTTTTATTTGTATTTTTTAACATTATTTTATTTTTTATAATAATTCTTTTAAACCCGGAATAATTACTGCTCTAAAAAAACACAATAATAGTTACGTATAAAAATCTATTAAACAAATGTAACTTAAAAATGTAAGACATAAATGCAAATTTAAAATCTACAAATTCATTTTTTTTTTGTTAAAAATTTTTAATATAGTAAATTATACATATTTTATCATTATTTTCGATCATTATTATTTTAGAAATACTGAAGCAACGCTTGTGGTTATATAAAGTAAAAAATTTAATAATAACTATAGCTTTTTTTTTGGTAGTTAAGGATTTATTTAAATATTTTATTTCTTTTCCATAATTATTTTATTTGTTGCAATATAAGTTTATTTTAGAATAATGGTTTTTGGAAAATATTATACAACAGTTTTTCGGAGAGATTTATTTATCTTTGTATACATTTTTCGTATGAAATTTATACCTAGTTAGTAGTTACCTAAGTATAAATACTTATATTATGTACAATATGTATATAGGTTATCTTAGTTGAGTAGTATTGAAAACATTTATTTGTGATTATCCGGACTTGTCGGGTACCAAATTTGAAAATCTGCCGCTGACTATACTATATCCATAATAGTAATAATTAAATAATAATAAGGCGAATTTTTTTTTTTTTAATCTTAAAACCATTGATTATAAATACGTATTACTTCAAAGAATACTAATAATATCTGCTAAAGCCAAAATACTCTAAACAAAGCCTGGATTAGACCTTACCAGGTGCGCGCGATCAACAAGAGCTACCCTACCCTTATGAGTACTGATTTGTACTAACTACTATGATATTATGACACGGGGCCCTTGGTGTCATGAGACACTGCATAAAAGCAAGCGTTTTTCTTATAGAACAAAGGCGCTTTCTCTATGGTTTTCTACATTATATTGGCCGTGATTACCTGACCGTCGCGACAGTCCATTAGGATCGACCAGCGATCTATTTCAGCAAAAAATAATAATTGTTCGGCAAATAATACCTTTAACCCCGTGATAGGATATGCCGTAACTCCCGGGGCCCGACTAAAACCGTCATGTTTGCCGGAAGTCGGTATTGCTATGTAACATGTTGACTTTGGCGTGGTCGTTTTATGAGTTTTCAAGGGACGCGATGCAGAAGATATAAAAAAAAATACAATAGCAAAAACAAAAAGAACAATTATTCAAATGTTATACTGTAATGCGCGTTGTACCTATATGAATGCATTGTTATCGTGAACTGAATTTTTATTTGATCGACGCCGTAAGTATTAAAATGCATGCCGGTATAGGCTACTCACCTGGACATCGTGTATTATTTGAAAAATCAAAACGAGCAATATTAATAATAATATAAAATTATTATTATTGTCGTGAGTATCTATAGCCAGCCGTTACTTTGGATTCCGTCGAATACGGCACGGACACGTTCCGGACTTATACACCGAGTTAACTCACCGCGATGGTTGTGCGGATCGTCCTCGTGAGCGAAAAGCGCGCGCGACTGGTAACAAAACGCGAGTGGCGTTTACCACCGGTGATCGTCGGTCGTCGACGTCGAAGGGTGGCTGCTGCCTGCAAAGGCTGGCGGCCGCGGCGCGTCAAACCGTTTACAACGCGTACGATGCGCGCGGCAGTACGGACGCACACGAACAGCACTCGGCGGCAGCGGACTCTTGTCGTCGTCGAGCGGCAGCGATCGCGTCAAGCATACATCGCCGTCGCGGCCACTTGGACGACGGCGTCGGCGGCACGCGCTTATGCCGTTTACTCCGTTTTCTTAACGTACGCATACGCGCGTCCGACACCGCCCACTTCCCGTATCGTCGCTTCACTATGGATGCCATCCGCCGCCGACCTGTAAAGAAAGGGTACAACGCGCGCTCATTAAAAAATTAACTATTGTCGACTACATTTTGTAATTGCCGATACTGCGGTTGGCGGGGTACACGCGGTAGGCTCTAGCAATCTGAGAACAACCGGTGATGAATTTTATATTAATTTTATTTGGGGGTATACACGTCCATCGCGATAATATATAACCCGTTTCCACCGACACTATGGCCATGGGTGATAGTAAATACTATATTTTTCCCAAGGGAAATTTCCGTGACCAAACGGTTACGGATTTTGGATTTTTTATGCTTTTAACTCACTGCCCAGTTGTTGTTTTTTTTTTTTTTTTTTAATTTGTTTTCATGATATATGAATATGAGCAAATATTTAAAAAAATTATACTTTAATAGAAATAAGTAATAACTAGGAACTACGTTAATACCTTTTAGCTTCGATGCGGAGCTGAGATGATGTTTTTACAATAGTGTGTTTTATTTATCTGTTTATTTAATAGATGAAACAGAAGTAATAAAAAAATAGTTAAATGAGTTTAAAATTGGAATCCAATATTCATTTAATAATCTACTATTGATAAACATTAATAAACATCAATAATATCATGAACCCTTTCCCCTAGAAGGGTTGGACACTTTTAGGACATTATGTTGTTTAGGTATGTCTTATTTATTTTTAAATAATCACTTTATAAATAGTGAACAAAGAACAAAAAAAATAATAACAATTATAAATAAGGGATGCTTTTTAGATCAGTATTTATTTTTGCTTATCAAACGACTGGCAAAAATCATAAAAAACCTTTTACTATAATTTATTGATAACCTTATTTAACACTTTAAAATGTAATACTTCCAAGAATGAGTCGAACAAGGTAATAGTGATCCATTCCGAACTGTGCTCCAATATTTGAATTAATAATATTTACTACTTGGTATATTGGTATTAAATTGATTAATAAATTTAATCAAATTAATCAATTTGGTATTATAAAAACTGTACCATGTGGTCCTTAAAATTGGATGTTTCACATTTTGAGTAAGGGATTACACTACAAGACGATTTAAAAGTCACGTAACCCAAAATATAAATTTAAATTTCTAAGAGAGTTCTCCGCGTGATTCTATTTTTCTTTTTCCTTGAACTCATTAGCAACTCAGTTTTATAAAAATGTGTACATTTCTATGATTAAACTTTGTTTTTCTAGTAAAAATAGACATTTCTATAATATAACCAAGGGATTATGAAATATGTACATTCAGTGGCGTTAAAAGGGGGCCAGAATTCCACCGGGTATAGGGAAATTATCCGACTAGCTATGGGCCGCAAAAATGATAAGTGCTAATTTATTCATTTTATAAGCCGGTCAGTTCCTCTCTCTTTTAAAAACGTAAATTCCAAATATTTATTTTCGGTTGTGCAGCTTTTGAATCACACTGTATTATGAATAATGTCCATAAAAATTAGTATGGGAAAACTAACGAAAAACCGTAGTATAAATTTCCTATACTTAGCTAAAAAGTTATAGAAGCAATTACTAACATAACGTAGAGTCTATCCTTTTTATAATATTAGAAACTATTACATCTAATGTATCTATGTACAATTAAATACTTAGCGCATTATCACAATATTGAGCTACAACATTATTTACTTATTAATATAGTGTTTAATTACACAGCTTCACACACACAAAAATTCACCGGTAGACTTAACTAGTGTGTTTATATGTATTTCAAGCCACTGAATTCGAAGCTGAGGTCGAAAATTGAAAATTAGTTTCCATTTTCAATATAACCCAAAAATATTCATTTGTTGTACTATTTTACTATAATAAAAAAAACGTGAGTTAGATTTGCAATCCTAGTCGTAAATTAAAATCTACCTTTTGCTATGACGGCACCCACACGCACTTGCCCAAGGACTCACCGAAATAAATCTATTGCCCACAGTCACCACGTGGAGGTGCCATGATTGCAAAAGGAACAACTCAACAGTACGCTTTAGCCATTGTGGTTAAAAGATAAGATAGTTAAAAGCGTAGGATTTCTATTTCATCTGTTGCAGAATCTGCTTTGAAGCTGTCCTTATCAATGTTGTGAAGCTATTTAACTATGGTGTGCTAATTATGTAATTCTGATTTCAAATTCAAATTTTACTAGTATCGTCTGCCAAAGCAACCACAAAATGAAGTCATAGGGTTTTATACTCTGCACAGACCCCCTCCCACTGCCCTTCCGAAGCATAAAGTCGAGTGGTCCATACTAGTGAATTTTTGTATACTTCGGGGTGCTATATTTTAACTTACGACTAGGATTGCGAATCTAGCTCTCGTTTTTTTATTATAGCAAAATAGTACAACAAAATTATGTTTTTTGAGGTTATGTTGAAAATGAGAGTGAAAATTTCTACCTCAGATTCGGATTCAGTAGCTTAAAATACATAGGAACTGACTATTCGAGTACGTCGGAGATCCGAATTTTTTTGTGTGGCTATGTTTTAAATACAATTACCATTGCTACTTTGAGTCGTTATTGATAACCATAATAATCACTATTGGTTTTTAAACTAATTTATTGTTCAAAATCCAGATTAAAATACATAAGTAGAATAAAAACTTCGAATGCATGTCAATACGCTTTTGAACACAAGCTTACGCGAGAACGCGGTTTAACGGCTAAATACATTTTTTCTTTAATAAAATAATTTTTGACAAGCAAAATAATAAACGAACTTGGCCAATGGTTAATTTGAAGTACTCCATACCAAAAAAAAAAAAATGTACAAGGTTCAATAGTTTTATAGAAAGATTAATTATAATTTACAAACAAAAGTATCTCATGAATTTGTAAGACCTTTTATCAGCTTCCAAACCTTTTGAAATGTTAAATAAAATAATTTCTTTTATCGTCATCAGTCATCACTCATCACACAACATAATTAAACATACGAAAAAGGAACTATAACTTAAAAGCACTGTTTCCTAGAAATTAAATTGAGGCATGATAAAAACTAAAAATATTAACTTGAAAGTATTTCGCCGTAAAATCAACAATATCGCATTTTTTTAGTCCTCGATTAAAAAAATGAACCATTTGTCCTGGCCAATCACAAACGTTTTATACTGTTTCCACTTTTGTTAAAAATATTTATACTTCCCTAATAATACAATGCACAAGGTTCCGGAAAGAGTAGCTCAGTTAAAAAAATATATATTTTTGACTTTTTTAAGGTGTAAAATTATTAATTAATACAAAAGCATTAAAATAAACACACTCATTGATGTATTTTATACTGATGATTAATATAGTTATTTTATTAGTTCGTTTTCGTTTAACACTTATGCATTTTATAAATTCTACTGTTCAACGACTAGTAAAAATAAATATATTTTTTATTAAAATTCTATAAGCTTTTAATTAACTAACAATTTTATCAATCATAAATTATTAATTAATCGTAAAAAGTTAAAATACATCAATCACTATTTTTTTTTAATTTACGGCCTACAAATATTTTAAAAATCAATCAGTATCTTCTTTAAAATATATACTTATATTCACTGAAATGATATATTCCATAACTGTTTAGTATTCATTGTTATTTTATTAAATTATCGATTGTATAATATGTAGTGCACAAAACGTGTCATAAGTGTATTTTTATGAAAATTACAAATTTAGTTACGTATATAAATAAGTGTTTAATATATAATAACCTTTTTATATGTTTGTATATATATCTGTGGCTTGGAACAAGAATGGCCAATGGAAAATGAGCTTGTCGGGTATCCAATACTTTCGTATGATGTATTGTTTTAAATAGATATGTATAGTATATCGGTAGTAAATACGTAAAAAACATTACAATTTCATTCGGTTTTATCAATGAACATTCTGTTTTACTTTTCATAAAACGTGTAAGAATGTTTTGATAAACAGTTTTTCTTTACAAACTTTATAGACAATTTATTGTTGGTAAATTATTATTATACTAAAATATTGTTTTACATTCTATTAGTATGCTGTATGTATAGGGTAGCACCAATGCGTATTTCAAAAAAGGAAATTGACAATAGATTAGCTGTCGGTGATTGGGCAGATTATAAAAAAAAAGTTTGAGTACAAACAAAATGTGATACAGGTATTTGTCGACTTCAAAAAAGAATCAAATGGTTTGAGCACGTAATGAGAAGTTCAAACACAGAGTACCTAAAAGCGGCCGTCGAATTCCAAATTTACATTGGAAAACCAACATGAGGAATTAAACTGATGACAATTAAAATTCAATATTTTAATAAGATGAATTAAACATTTTAATATAAAAATTTCGTTATCGGGTTTTATCATATTACTATTTCTCCATGATATAATAGTTTTTATAATATTCTTCCATGCCATACCTAACACTCTCTCTGTCTCTTTTTAACGATGTCGATAATCGGACCTCTCTCTCTCTACTATCAGTCCATTTCTTTATATACTACATTACAAAAGAGGACATACCGCTTTCGCGCAACACGAATGACGGCTGGCGGCCGCTGAAAGGCAAATTTCTCCCACTCTTGCCGAAATGTGGCGCCGATAATACCCGACGGTCGCCGTCCGAGCTACGAACCTAACCGAAGCACGTCGCGGTGGGAGGTGCTAGGCAGGAGATGTGCGCCGCCGAACGCAAACCGGTATGTTCTGTTTTGAAATGTAGTATAGGTCTATAGATAGGACCCTTACTCTTTAGACAGGTTTCGGCTAGAAATCAAACAGTAGCATTGATTCAATGGGGTTATATTGTTAACAAATAAATCAAACTTGGGCTGACTATTAACTATAAAATTATGAAAAAGAATAATATAAAAAAAGTCTTATATCTTTTTGGAATTAGGATATTTACTAGGTCTTAATTATTAACCAATTAACATTTATAGTAATATTTCATGCTGTACATACATATCAACATATAGATTTTAAATAATAAGAGATCAATAAAGATTCATAATTAAGTTGGCTTACATTATTTATCATAATATATAACTAATAATTAATTAATGATCTATTTTATACATCAACTCTTCGTGGTATAACTTATTTTTATCTTTTAATGTAGAAGACGAAAAAAGTATTAATATAAATGAACTAGGTATTATAATATAGGTATGTTAATTTTATAAGTGAGAAAGTCTGTTTACACATTTATGTTTATGGAATACTGTACAATATTCAATTATGATAAGAGGACTTCAATGACGGCGACTTGTAAAGGTAAAAACTTTCGAGTGGAAGTATATAAGTACAAACATCCGTAAAGAAAAAAGTGCGAAACGCCGTTACAAAGGGGATGTTTTTTTACTTTAAAAATGGATCACACGAATATCCTATAAATATATAGCATAATAGTAATCCTGCAAGGCTAAAAAGTTTCATATCAGATTTCCAGAGGCATTGTTGACAAAAGACCGACTGCTGTTTATGAAATGTAACACTAGGTTTGCATATAATAAACACTAAAGTGAAAAAAAAATTTTCTTACATTTTTTCATAAATGTGTAACGCTATTAGTCATAGGTACTACTAGTTAGCAGGAAAATATCTATTTGAAAGTTACTAGTAGGAAAAATTTTAAAATACTCAAAAGAAAAATTGCGTTAAGAAATAAAGCCTAAATAAGAAAAGTATGATTAACTATTCTAACACTATAGTATTATCAGTGACGGTCCTACAAATTAGTGCGAGGCTCTAAATTTTCCTAATTACTTTAAGATTCTTCTACAACTTTTAAATAACAAATATAGATAAAAATGTAATACCTAATGAAATCACAAAAAAATGGAAAATTAGTATTAGGTATTATTCCCCCCCTCCCTTTACAATATTCTCGTCGCGGATACCATTTCCTAAATTTAAACTTATTGCGGACAAAATTACTAATATGTACCTTTTTTTATTACCTAAGTTAATCAATTTCTTTATTTATGGTTCTTCTTTATGATTATATAAAGTATCCTACATCGTCACTACATGAGCATACAATCATTTTAATAACAAGTTATCACTTGAATTCATATTGTGTTTGAACTGTGCTCCATACTTTACTTTGCTAGCCGAAATAGTATTGTCTTGATATCATACAATACCTTAAATCACGTTAAAAAGTTTAATATTTTCGTTTTTCGAACAGTATTTATTTATATTGTAAGCTCTTCGACTATAGTATTTGTAAATATAATCTTGTATAATGAAAGCGTTAACAATAATAAATCCTACTATATAAATATATATATATATATATATATATAGCTTAATACGGGTAAAAGCGTGACAAGTAAATATCTAGTAACATAAAGATATACAAGAAGTCGATGATATAAACTAACTAACATAAATGTATACAACTAGGACTCTGGTAATATAAAACTAATGCCCTTAGAATTATTTTATATTAGGAATTCTTTTTATTATAACGTCTTTTTTAAAGATTTAAGATAATAGGATAGGTATACAACTGTGTATTTTATCGAGTTTTTATTATCCTGAAATATTAAACTACCAATTAAAATAAAATTCGTGGAATTTCAAGAAAAGGAGAAAGCAGAAAAGTAACTGAATTATGCCAGTTTTAGGACATTACCTATTAACGTCATACAATGTGTTCTATACATTCACTCGGCAAAACAGACAGTAAAATTCCTATTTAACATATTATTTATACTATCGACAAACTTATTTTTCTGTTCCACTAATTATTTGATTATCCGTATTGTTATTCTCAATAGGAGCACAAAGTTTTGTCTATCAATGAACATCACTTAAAAAAATGATTTGTAATACAGAGTGGCGGATGAAAGACCACATTTGTAATGGGCGCCATAATTTTAATTTTTGAGGTAGAGGGGTGAAACAAAAAACAAGTTGTTGCAAATTCAGGAAAGTTTTATTAAATATGAAAAAAATATTATTTTTGAAACAGAATGTTCGATAGATGGCGTCCTTGAACGGAGATGCATTCTTGGAGGCGCTCGCCAAAGTTTGTCATCACTTTCTACAACATTTCCACCGGAATTGATGCGATTTCACTTCTAATTGCGTCCTTTAAATCGGTAAGGGTTCGTGGCTTGTTGACATAAACATTCTACTTCAGATACCCCCATAGGAAGAAGTCGCAAGGGGTGAATTCGGCGAGCGGGGTGACCATTGAACGTCACCATTTCGAGAGACCAGACGTCCGGAAAAAATTGAACGGTTGAGGTTCCATTAAAATTCTCGCCGTGTGGGTATAGTGGCACCGTCTTATTAGAATCAGATATTTTCAGTATCCATTTCGTTTTCCTCTAGGTAAAGGATGAAAAAATCTTGGAACATAACGCTCAGAATTCACCGTCGCTGCATGCCCTCTTTCATATTCAAAAAAATAAGACCCACTTATTCCAACTTTTAACAATGGACACCAAACCGTTACTTTCCCACTGTGAATAGACTATTGGTGCAATTCTCTTGAGTTACCGTTTGCCCAATATTTCCCAAATCATATTTTTTTCACATCCAATAAAACTTCCTCTAAATTTGCAACAACTTGTTTTTTGTTTCACCCCTCTACCTCAAAAATTAAAATTTTGGCGCCCATTACAAATGTGATCTTTCATTCTCAGCCATCCTGTATTAAGCACAATTTTTACTTTTTCGATAAGCCACGAATACTGTTATTTTTGTGTACCGATACATATAATTTATCTAAATCAAAATTTGAATTTCAAACAGCTTTTTGAGATAGTATTATGAAGTTAATATTCGTTACATTACTGATTTTGACACACCAAAATCCGGGTTTTAAAAACTAACAGCTTAAGTTAAAATAAGTTAGAAAAGAGGAAATTAAGTGGTAAACGATGAAATGGCGCAGACATCAAATGATTACCACACCGTACACCTGAACCAAACTTTTTAACGATCATAATTTGTGATATTGGAACTGAGATTAGGGTTTTGGTGTATTACTCTTTTTTTTATAATGTTTATCCCGTTGCTCGTTTATATTTTCGTTTGAAATATTTGCAACTTAAATTCTCTGATACCAATTAATACTGAATAATGATGAAGAGGCTAAAACTAATAAACAAAAAAATAGTAATTTTAGTAGTTGTTGACGTACGTTTAAATTCTGAAACAACAACGTATGTTATTAGGTAGTAATTAATTTTTTTAGAAATACAAATTACTGTGTTTTCCCAATTTTATGTAAATTGAACTACTCAAAAATATGTTGACAAAAAGATTTAAAAATAATCTAGTGTTTTTTTTTTTGTTTTGCTTAACAATGCTTGATTAATAAAATGAATTATATTATCCTAAGGTGAACATATTTATTTGAAAACTCAAAAAACCACACACAATTTTGTCCAAACTCTAAATAAAGACCTGACAAAAAAATGTTGGTTTTTATTTCTTACATATTTTGATATTAGTTTATAATATTATTTTTGCCACTCTAGTTGAATTAAAAAATGTCCTTATTTTTCCAAACAGAAACATACTTGGCCATATCATAAAATGTTGTTTTATTTATTATTTTAAAAAACTTTTTTAAAGAGCTATTTAAAAATAGTTAGCATTAAATTAAAAATTATAAATATCACTACTTTTACCATGCTTATATAATCCAAATTGAAAGAAAAAATGATTGCTCTATTAGTACCAATAAATTTGATTAGAGGCGGACAGGATTAAAATGGGATCATCTTCTAAAATCCAAACAAGAAGCCGAAAGTCAAAAGATAGTCGGGACAAGTCGATATTTTGCTAAAAAAAAGGGAGAATTCCATGTTCAACAGGACAAGTTTGGTTCACTATTTTATCCTAATTAGCATTACAGAAAAAAAATTGATTAAATATATTAATTAAAAAAACAAATATTTATCATGAAAAATAGTTAAATTAATCATGATTCAAAAAGTTTATTTCAGACAATAGTTTAATTAGTCACCATTAAATGAAGTTTATCAGGTATAATCATTATTTGTACGATTATAATTTATGGTAGTATGAAAAATCAACTTTTCCTTAAACTATTATAGAAATAATATCCAACTCTGGCGATAACAAGCAAAATATTTACATCCATCATCATCATATGTATACTGTCAAAAACGGATTTTAAAAGGTATGTTGCAGACAAGAGACCAAAAAAAAAAACACGCACTCATCTGTTCAGACAGCTCTGGCAATATTTGATCGCAAATCTCACCAAACCTAGGACATCATTTAAAAAAACTTAAACAATTGAGTTAGCAAGATATGGCTAATGAATACATAAATAACATAAAAACGATTTGTCTTTAACCATACATTTATTAAAAAACATATTACACCATCGTTTAAGCAATAAATTCATAAGGTAAAGGAGCTAAACTAATGGGTTCGGTACCTCTAACAATATGACCAGGGCGGGGTCCTTGTGGCTGAAAAAAAAAATTCAGTATTAATTAAGATAAAAAAATGATATTAAACATTAATATTTAAATATTTAATTTATATTTATAATATATTCATTGTTTAATCAGATAAAACCTTCAACATGAGATTCTGTCTGGGGCGGTATATTGTCATCATGTAATTGCAATTATTATTTAACTTTTAAACATTGGGCCAATTATAAAAATGTCTTATATTTCTTTGAAAAATGTAATCAGATAAAACCTTCAACATGAGATTCAGTCTGGGGCGGTATATTGTCATCATGTAAATGCATTCATAATTTAACTTTTAAACATTGGTCCAATTATAAAAATATTTAATATTTCTTTGAAAAATGTAATCAGATAAAACCTTCAACATAATATTCTGTCTGGGGCGGTATATTGTCATCATGTAAATGCACTCATAATTTAACTTTTAACCATTGGTCCATTTATAAAAATGTCTTATATTTCTTTGAAAATTGTTATCAGATAAAACCTTCAACATGAGATTCAGTCTGGGGCGGTATATTGTCATCATGTAAATGCATTCATAATTTAACTTTTAAACATTGGTCCAATTATAAAAATGTCTTATATTTCTTTTGAAAAATGTAATCAGATAAAACCTTCAACATGAGATTCAGTCTGGGGCGGTATATTGTCATCATGTAAATGCACTCATAATTTAACTTTTAAACATTGGTCCAATTATAAAAATGTCTTAATATTTCTTTGAAAAATGTAATCAGATAAAACCTTCAACATGAGATTCAGTCTGGGGCGGTATATTGTCATCATGTAAATGCAATTATTATTTAACTTTTAATCATTGGTCCAATTATAAAAATGTCTTATATTTCTTTTGAAAAATGTAATCAGATAAAACCTTCAACATGAGATTCAGTCTGGGGCGGTATATTGTCATCATGTAAATGCAATTATTATTTAACTTTTAATCATTGGTCCAATTATAAAAATGTCTTATATTTCTTTTGAAAAATGTAATCAGATAAAACCTTCAACATGAGATTCAGTCTGGGGCGGTATATTGTCATCATGTAAATGCACTCATAATTTAACTTTTAACCATTGGTCCATTTATAAAAATGTCTTATATTTCTTTGAAAATTGTTATCAGATAAAACCTTCAACATAATATTCTGTCTGGGGCGGTATATTGTCATCATGTAAATGCACTCATAATTTAACTTTTAAACATTGGTCCAATTATAAAAATATTTAATATTTATTTGAAAAATGTAATCAGATAAAACCTTCAACATGAGATTCAGTCTGGGGCGGTAAATTGTCATCATGTAAATGCAATTATTATTTAACTTTTAAACATTGGTCCAACTATAAAAATGTCTTATATTTCTTTTGAAAAATGTAATCAGATAAAACCTTCAACATGTGATTCAGTCTGGGGCGGTATATTGTCATCATTAAATGGAACCACAACTTAGGAAAACTATTAATTTTTTACCAATAATAAAAATAAAATAAAAAATTACATACTTTACGTTTAAGACACACTCGAATGCCCTTTTTTTTAGCTTCTGCTACTTTTGTTTCATTTACTTTAACACGCTTAAGGAAGTCATCTCTGCACTTAGATGGGTTAACATGTTCAATACGGATGTTTATTCTGAAACAAAATTATAATAATAAAAATAATTGCACAAGTTAAAAAAAATTTTATACACACACACAGAGCCATATTTAAAATAAAAACTTAGTTGTCAAAAAAATCAAAATGCTGATATATGAAATAATGATAACATTTTCCAAAGAACATTATTTCATTAAGATGAGGTACATAAAAGAAAATAGGAAGATATTTATTGCAAAATTTAAAGTTTGTTATTAAAATAATGTTTAAAAATGACATACTTTTAAATAAATCATTATTTTACTTTTAATTTTTTAAAAGAAGTAAGTTATTGTTTTTATTAAGCTAAAAAACATACATTCTTTAGATAAATTAGATTTAATGAAGCCTACTTTTAAAATGAGACTTTGTTTATTAATACTTGCCTTTTGGGGATAATGCGGTTACGAACACGTTTATTAACGATTACACCAAGAGCGTGTTTAGATACATTAAATACACGACCCGTTTTTCCATGATATACTTTGTATGGCATACCTTTTTGAACGGCACCATTTCCCTGTAGTCATTACATCAACATATCATTAATATTTTTAAAATTGATAAATATGAAAAATTGAGAAACAAAATATACCTTTATATCAACCATGTCACCAACTTTGTACACTTTCATGTATGTCGACAATGGAATAACTCCATGCCTACGGAATTTTCGGGAGAACAAATCCCGGGTTCCGTGCCGATAACCTTTCGAGTTAGTCATTGTAATGTGTTATCTGGAATTTAATATTTGTAAAAAAAATTATCATAGAAAATCATCATTATAAAATATGTTGAACACCTATAAATTTTCTTAGTTAAATTGAACAAATATCTATACTCTATCCCATATAAGAACGATAGTGCGCAGATACCAAAACATATTACCTACTCTCATATGCGCCTGCGCAACCAGATGCAATGCGTTTTGGTTTTTGCACAGTACTACTCTTATGATATAAGAGTGTATATAATTTGCTATTCATTATTAGATAACTAAGGAAGATTGACATTGTTTTTTAAGAAAATAAAAAATTGGGCAGTCAAGGGCGTAGACTCATAAGCATGTTGTAAAATTATTTCTTCTAAAAATGTCAGTTAATTGTTAGTTCTTCATAAACAAAATGTTATATTTTAGATACAGATCAATCCTTCTGCATGATATTCAGTCTGGGATGGTATGTCATAAAAATTGTATACTAAATTAATATTAAATTATATTTATTATAATATTTTATACTTTAAATTCTCGTAGGGTATGATTTTAACAAACACCCTTTTTTTTTTAGATTAGGTTAGTAACTGCTTGCAGAAGAGTATCGAAGTTGGTTTTATTTCTCTTTGGGCAACCTATAATTTTTTTTGAGAATTTAGGGGCAAGAACTCCATTATTTTTACGATAGTTGATAATTCTCAAAGATCCAAGTTGAAAACTACTTATGAATCTGGTTATAAAAGTTATAGAATTTGTATAACCAGATTCATAATCAGCGTAAAAAAACACTACATGATGATAAACAAAATATCACAAAATGGTGTTCAGTCAAGTGAATTTGTGCCTCGTTTAAGTACCTCAAAGTACTGTTATTACTAATGAGATAATATGTAAAATATTATTTAACATATAACACACTCATATCATACAATGCTCAGTTTACACCTTCAACATAATTATACATATTCAGCCTGGGGCGGTATATTGTCATCACTGCATTGATATTATATAAAATTACGAATTAAGAAAATGCAGAACGTATAAAGTTAATTTATGTCAACATACAAGTCACATGATATGCACATAAGGTGAAGTGTTGTTTAAATTATTAAATCTAGAAAGAACATTTTCTACTTAGGACTAAGTACCATTAACGAAAATTAAATCTTGGATTAATAAATACTATAAAACCACACATTTTTCATTAGACAAATGTGGATTCTATAGCATAGCTTGAAAAAGCCAATCGATTTTTAAAATTAAACCTAAAAACAACATAATTCTTTTAAATACATTAACCATGAATCTAACTTAAAGCTAAAAACAATAAGTAATAAATAAAAAAGATATATGTGACTTACTTTAGGTAATAAACCTTTAAAAGTTAGTTAGAAGACACCAAACACTACCAAAAACGTGTACGTGAAACCAAATGAATATAACACGAAAGAATTAACTTTAGGTTATGTTTATGTTCGTGAAATATTGAGATTTTCCATGGAATAACAAATCGGTTACTGTTATCACAGAAGAGATGTTATCATTTTATATAAATTCCATTCCATTGAATTTGATCATATGACAAATGATAATTCTTAAAATTTACCCACTAGTATAGATCATTGAACTGAATAATCACTAATAACTAATAAGTAATAAGTATTTACTATTTAATAATCAATTTTTTTTTGTCAGTTGTCTATGCCGGATGCCCTCTATGGTTCTGGCTTAATAGTTTAGGATTTTACTATACATTTTTTTTTGAAATATGATAATTGAAAAATATTCAAAATTAAAAAATTAAGGAATCTATACGCATATTAGTCCAATTTTCAAAAAGGAAATATTCTATAAGTTTCAAAAATATATAAGAAATTGTGTAATTATTTTTCAGTTTAAAAATTGTTTAATTTTTTTCGAATTCTAGTTTCCATTGTGACTTCGTTCTTCTAAAATAAGTAAATTCATAAATAAGTACCATAATATTTAAAAATATACTTTAATCTACCAACTTTCAGGCACAAAAAAAAGTCTATTTCTTTATATTAAATAAGCTTTAAATAAAATATAGTTTTAATAGATTTATTATAACCCTGAACTTATTTGTAGTTGTGCGGAGTGCTGTTACCGAGTTAAAAAGTGGAAATTTTGTTGATACTTGAAATGGATAGCTTTCATATGGCTTGTAATCAATTAAAAGATGAATATCAAAATTGTTTCAGCTCTTGGTTTGCCGAATGTTACATGAAAGGTGATTATGATGATAAAAAATGTGCAAAACGTCTAGAAAGCTACCAAAAATGTATACATGAAGGAATGATAGAAAAAAAATTGGACATTGATGAAGTATTAAAACCCTATTTGGGAACTGAACGCATGAAATAATGAAGATGCAATATTTAAATTCTGGTTAGATTATTTTAAATCTCCTCTGTTGTCTATTTTCATGTCTAATTAGTGGTGTTTAAAATACTTTGTGTTCTAGAAAACAAACCTGTTACAGAAAAGAGTATTATTTTTATGGTGTAGATGTCTTTTAATATTTTATTAACAATGATTTTAATTAATATGGTTTATAATATTGTATACTATTTATTATGTTCCGAATTAGTTAACATAACATAGACATAGTTTAATATTAACCTCATAAAAAACATTTTAGTACTTAGTTAAACAAAAAAAAATTGTATTAATTTTGAACATTATATAATACCATTCATATTAGTAGATGTTTTTAATTTATGTACATATTTTTTTTTAAACTTCAATAATGTGTACATTTTTTATTACCATAATAACAAATATCAAAATAACAGAGATAATTTAAGAACAGTCTTGAGTAGGTACTTATTACATTATTAAATTCAATTTAGGGAAATTAAGAGTAGTAATAACAAACTTATTGATATTATTTTTAAACTTTTTTATTGCTTTTACTAAGTTTAAAATGTAAAACATACTCTACTTATAACCTAATATTCATAATTTAAGATCATTTTTTTTATACATAAAAATGTCTTCTCAATAGTTGCGAGTTTCTTGTCCAATCATAGTTAATTATTGTAAGTTTCATTCACAAACAGAACAACAAAAAACAACAATTTGTTTTCATTTTATTATCAAATTACTTTATTTATATCTGCTTTACATAGTATGTTTACTATTGTATTATATTACTTTAAGTACTTATAAATATTAAATGTGCAACTCTGATATTATAACTTCAAACATTTACATTTATATAGTAAAGGCTATAAAAAAAAAAAACTTTAAAAATTAAGTATCCATACTATTTATTATCGATGCTACAAATTTACAATTTTCAGTTTTTTTTTTTTAGATATTTTTCAACCCTGACAAACAATCTAAAAATAGTGAAACCTATTTACGAACCTGTAACAAACTACAAGAGACCAAATGAAAATATTGTTTAAAACTTGTGTTGAACTTAAAATGTAAATGTTAGGAATACTTTTAGTAGTCCATGACACTTCCATTAATATCTATACTTTTAAAATCACTAGGCTTTAGCTATCTTTTCAATCTTTAAAAATGTAGAATAAAATAAAACATTAACTCTAATAAAGGGGCCCCAATAAAAGTGATTAGTTATTTGGTGTATAAATTAAAAAAAATATGCTGTAATTGACAATATTTTAACAAACATTATTATAATGTTTAACACATATTATATGAACATTTTTTAACTAATTTTGAAAAAATACAATTAATTTATTATTTAATTATATAAATTATATATATTATTTAATCAATATTATATACAAATTTAGTTAAATTAAATTTAAAATCATGATAAATGGTTCATTTTAAAATATGTTGTGATAAGTGAAATAACTCACTATATTAGGTGCACAAATTAGGTACATAAATAATAATATATTATCCCAACTAATATTAAAGAACCATCCATATTACATCTAAAAATGACATTTTTTTAAATCTTATTTACTAGGCGTCTTTAAACCTTAAACGTGTAATGTCGTAAATATATTACATACATCATTTAGAAAGGTAGCCTTTTATATCAAAAGTAATGACCCACATTTTTATCTTAATAGTTTTTGAGTATTAGCGTTTTACATTTTACTAAAGTAGTATCAACAATAAATATATCTAATTATAAAACGAAATATGTAGTGCTATTTGTTGACTAAATGAAGCACGATATCCTGCAATTTTTATCAGTAGTTTCATTAATTATAAATATTTTTATTACGTCTACTGATACAGATATCAAATATCAAAATAGACAATTAACACCTATACTTAAAACTCAAAAATTGATACATAGCAGATGGGCTAATTTAATTAGAGTATAACAATTATTCTTATAAATACCATGGTAATTATATGAACTACATGTTTAGCTCTGCAAAGCTGATAAGATATTGTTTTCCCGATCCTTAAATATTACAAATTTATTTATAATCTATATATATATATATGTAATAATATATATGTCCTGTATGCATTAGTATGCTATTCATCCGATCGCCATGAAACTTTGGAAAGTTATTGAGTACACTCCCGCGAACCTACCTGGCATAGTACTTGTGGTAAACCTACTAGTTTCACTATAATGCAATAATTGTTAAATATTTAGATTAAAATGTGTAATTAAGAACCTAGTATAACTAAGAACTTTCCATTGAAGTTAATAAATAATTACATATTACGAAATTATTATTGTAAATTGAAAGTATCTCAACATAAAAGATACCCCGATCGTCGCATTGTCATTCAGCGATTGTTAACATTATACTAGTTTTTAGTTATTTCGATTCCTTCCTGACTACACTTATCCACGTGCTCTGAATCTGGACTTAAAACACCCAGTTCTCTACATACTTTTCGAAAATTCCACCCTTAAGGATGGACTCAAACACGAACTTTCTACTTTAAATACGAAATGTAAATAAATTAAATGTTTGTAACCACGGTACTCGAGCAAATGATAGGTGATGATTAAACTAAAGGAACATGCCGACTCTATGTACCACGATTCTGGGCGTGATTTTAACTGTTAGAACGGGATCTGAGACAGGGACTCTTGAGTAAGAGGAGGACATAATAACCGTAAAAAGTGTCTCAAAAACGCTGTCACGCTGTTATCTGATAAAAGATAAAGGCGGTATCACAGCTACGTAGTCCGTCGTGTCGTGTGCCTTATATCGCCTTCTGATTGGCCGTTGTAATCACGGTATCATTGAGTAACCATGACCTACCGGGTTATTGCTAGAGTTGAGCTGAGCTCAACTTTTGTATCGTGTGGTATAGGTGGTTAAAGTATGGTAACCGCGGTCAATTAATTTTTTATCAATTTGAACATACTTATTACTATCACTATCTGCATTAAATGCCGTTTTGTCATTGATGGGCCGTATACGGTGTATTTAAAAGTAATTATTTTATCAAATTTCAATTTATTTCGCGAGTACTCTATGGCATTCACTGATTAGGTAACCACGATAGACAATTACCAAATTGGTATTGTACAGCTACCATTAGTAACCTTAAGTGGCCACGCCCACTTCTTAAATCGCACGACACGACAGACGACGTAGCTGTGATACCGCCTTCAGAGATGAAGGATGGGGAAATGGGAATAATTATTTTACTTAGCCCTGGCTAACCAAATCTCGGGCAACGCGGGGTCCGGACAGCTTGTAATTCTATAAAAACGAGAACAATATTTGTGGGTTTTTAACATGTATTTTTTATTTAAAAACCCCAATAAAACTACCCCTATGCAAAAAGTTGACCCCCTCCCGTGGATTAAAAGATTTTATTAAGAACTAGGAAGAAAAGATTATTTCACTTTATACAAGTATATAGCTTCAACTAAGCATCTATATTTAAAAAAAACACTTTTATAAATTATCTACACATAAGATATAAGACGTCGGCAACCTACATAGTCTTTAACATATAAATAACTCAACGCCCAATGGAGATGCATAAATATGTTGATTGCAGACTGCAGTGCGATGTACCACAAGCCCTTATTATATTATGTTACACATATACATATCATAATTCACATGAATCCGTGGTGTTGTGTGAAGTGTGTGTATACTGCAATAACATCTAGCTCTTTTGGATGGGAAGGGTGTCCTATGACGCACGAGAACACCGGCTATAACAGATGCAATTGCTCGTGAATCACCTATTTTTGTGCACAGACGACATACATACATATATATATATATATATATATATATATATTAGTCATTAGACATATTAAAAAAATACTAATAATGAACGATCTGTGTAACTAGTTTTCCTTGGGAATAATTGAACTGTGTGAATTCGTCTGTATAATGAGTATTCATGCCGATTCGATTACTTATTTCATCAGTTATATTAATAATAGTGAAATAATTAATCAATAAATTAAATAATATTGTATTAAAAAATGTTGTAATTATTTATTGCTATTTTTTATTAGCTTAATTCCTATTTTTTAAACTAATATGTACCGTTAATCATAATAATACCATAAAATAACGGCTTACATAGGATGTTCTAATCTGAATAGTAGGTAACTAATAAAAAAAATTACTTGTTTTTATACACTGAAAAGTGAGCAACTAAAAAGGGGTTATAATATATCATTGTCAGTTCATCTCGGACCCAGACTTCTAAATTAACGCTTAATAGAGAAGTTTACACTAAGTTACGTAGTAAAGTTATTCACGAATCAATATTTATTTATTAACATTATAAAAAAAAAGGGCTTCAATTTTCAAACAGTTACTGCAGTTGTTAACTGTACTTAACAGTACCTACGGTATTTACATTGTGTTTGTTGTATTGACAATTACACAAAAATTAAAATTATTTACGATATGACAAAATTAATTAAAAAATAGCTTTGTTTTGTCAAAAATATGAGTGAAGGACTTAGCTTTGTACTAATATAATAACGCAGCTATAGAAAATCACGCATTAATATAAATTATGCATGTACTTATAAATTATAAGTATACTAATAATTACAACCTTTTTTTATAATTATCAGCTTCGAATTTATTATTTCACGATGACGTATAACAATATTATATACGTACGCTGAAGGTTGTCAAAGCTGTTCACTAAAAACGCACGTAAACACCTCCTGCGACTATGCAGAATTGTATTGTTTTTATTCGAACTATTTTTCAACGTATGAGTTTGAGCCAAAAATATAACAGAATTACGTTTCTCCTATACGTTTACTCGACTAGCTTTATTCGCCAAAATTATATTTTGTAGGAACTTAAGAAAAAAACGCTGCTAAACAATGGCACACAACTATCTCAATATTTTTGTTTTTTAAATTTTAATATTAATTTGTTTATATTCGACTGATAATTATATATATATTATAATTATATAAATTAGAGCCG